GAGCTAATCCTTGATGCTTTTCTTTACTGTTTCATGAAGCGTTTCAACATCGAAGAACAACTTTGCTTATATCAAAAAGGGGAGAAACACGTTGAACGTCGAACGCAGCTGAGTAACGACCCACAGTACCTTCAGGGCTCATCCCAGTTAAAAAGACAAAGAGCAGAAAGTTAATATTGCACATTTCACAGGCTGGACCTCAAACAAGGCAAGCGTGAGGCACCAAACCCATCCCTACTCTTGCAGCAAGCTATTTATAATAATAATTACCCTTTCTATTCTTAGCTTTGCTCCACTTTGTACTTTTAACACAAATTAACATCGTGTTAAATGGAAGCTGAACTATGAATTTCTGGTTGTTTCTTCATAGCGCTCCATAGACCTGACCGTTTGAAGGCGATACCAGTTCGATCTCACAAGAACAACGGGAGAAATGGCAACTTGCACATTAAGTATCAAACCCAGAATCTTGCTTAGAGCATCTTTTTAATTTTACACATAAAAATACAGGGGGGGAAAAAAAAAAAAAAACCTAAAAAGGTGGGAAGACAAATAAAAAGAGCCAACAGATCACTGCTGCATAAATTTCCACGGAAAACCACAAAGCCGATGTGACAGAAAGAAAGAGGAAGAGAACGGATAAATTATATTGCTGTACCCAAGAGATGAGGTGGAGTAACTGTACTAATACGGCAAAGGGGAGCGGAAGGTACCTCAGCGGCTTTGGAGAACCAAGCCTCGCTGGCCGGCGCTCCGGCTCGCTGGAGGCACGCGTTCAGACCGGGACGCTCCGCGGGGGCACCAACAGCGCGATGAGCGGGTGCGTAGCCCTGCAGCGCACGCCTCTAAGCCTCCTTTAAACCCATTTACCCCTCTGCCTCAGGACCTACACGGAGTAATCTCGAGTGAACGTTCGAGCGTCCGCGTCAAAAGTTGTAACGCCTAAAAAAATGACAATAAACACTTTTCATCTAAAAGTGGGAGTGGTTATTCTCGATAGGACCGGAGCCACGTTTGGAAACGCTACCGGTGAAACCTGCGTCCCCGTCCTGTAACGGCCACGGTACCGATGCTCTCCGGGGCTCAGGCCCCTAGGGCGCCCGGTGGCTTTTGGAAAGCACAACCTAGAAAGCCACCGGCCGCAGAACGGGCGCGTCACCGTCCTCAGCACCACCCAACCCAACCCAACCCAACCCAACCCCACCGAGGGAACAGCGCGTTTTCGGCACCGTCGCGCCTCACGCAGCCGAGGGC